CATGTGAAACCGTTTTTCGTGCGGAAGAAATCGAAAATCATTCCAGGCTTCATATCATGATTAATTAAAGCTATAGTCCTTCATAAAGATGTACTGGGCCCTCTGGGTAAGCCTAACTTCGGGTAATCTCACTTGGGAGACTTGTAGCCCAAGTGTAACCTACTTACTGGGTTTCTTGAGCCTGAGCTTTTGAGTTGATCCTGAAACCCTACATCCCACACCGTCAGGCCACCTGCCCACTCTTGTCTTCCAGGTTGATCGCCGAAGAAGCTACCTCCCAAGCCGTTGAGGGCTCTGGGGCGTTGTTTTTTGGGGCTTAGGTCTGTGAGGTCTATGGCTTCTTAACATAGGGGCCTTAATAATTAGAATAGGGTGTTGGGGCCCATTATACTATACTATAACGATGATAAAAAAACACCAAAGGAGTATAGGTAATTATTCAGGCTCCTATATTAGGCGGTGGGATCTAGCGTTCGTTCACACGGCTTCTAGGGCCTACCCAGAGACTCCAATATCCCTTAATTAAGGAATATTTCTTAAATTATGGTAGGATCCCTAGTATGATTTAAGGTATGTTCCTGAATTAAGGGATATTGGAGTCTCTGGGTATAGCTGGTGGGCTTGGGTGTTGCAGCAGATTACGGCCTCGAGGTTTGCTCGGATACCCAGTAACCTAAGAATAAACAGGCCTCTGTTTTTGGTATTGGGTAACTTTATAAGGAACCTAGGACTACAAAAAGGGAATAAGGGTACTACTGGGCATCCTAGTTTGTGTGTACGTACGTAGAGTAGAAGCCAGGAAGTTGGAATATCATTATCGTAGCCCCCTTTAAGGCAAATTATAGGGGATCCTACCATTAATCCATATTCCAACTTTCTGGAGTTCCCTTTAGTACGTACGGCTCAGCCATCTGCAGCAGCCCGACTCGACAAATCACTTCACACAAGAACGTCACTAGGATACCCAGTAGCCTAAGAATAAAAAGGCCTCTCTTTTTGGTATTGGGTAACTTTATAAGGAACCTAGGACTACAAAAAGGGAAAAAGGGTACTACTGGGCATCCTAGGCCAGATTTAGGGCCTTAACACCTGCAAAGCTTGAGCCAGGGCCCAGAGGCTCCAAACACTGAAACCCGAAAACCCACTTTAAGGATTACGGCTCGGGGAAAGGATTGTACAGCTAGTTCTAGGCTGGACAAGAGCTTATATAACAGTGATAGAGGCAACCCTGATCGTCGTAATATGTCCTACTACTACGACTTTACTGAAAAGACGTGACATCGAGTCGACACGGGAACAAACGCAATATGTAACCTACTGTAAACTCTATATGTACCCAGTCATGGACCAGGGGCTGTAATAATTAGACAGCAATTTCGAGATATACAGTACTATGACCATACATGTATTGATTCGATTCGAGCCTTCTTCATGAGTAGCAATAATATAGGGACCTTAATAATTAGAATAGAGGTTTTGGTGCCCATTATACAATAGTTAGAAGAAGGAATCCCCAAAATAGTATAGGTATCTAGTAGGGCCCTATACTAAACCCCCCCACAATACCCCTTATAGTACTCCTTGTAGACCCCTTTAAAAAAAGGAACCCGGTGATTATTGAGGCCCCTATAGCAACAAGCGTGCGTCCGTAGCCCTCCAAAAGGGTCCGAAGGATTCGTCATGTCGAGATGCAAGGCCCATTCGCAACTCAACCTGATCCCTAAACTAAAGCCTAAGCCCTGCCTACACCTTGGGTACGGCCCCCACTCAGGAATAGTTGAATAATATTCATAATATATTTCTATTCAAGTAAAAGCCAGAAAGTTGGAATATGAGTATCCTAAACCCTTTATGGTAAATTATAGGGTATCCTACCCTGAAACCATATTCCAACTTGCTGGAGTTCCCTGTAGGACCTTAATAGTAGCCCTCTTATAGACTCTTACTGTATGGGGGCCGTACCCAAATTTGAAGTTTTTCCTAAACCCTAAACCCTAAACCGTTTATTCCCAAATTAAGAGAGCTACCTAACCTAAACCCAACCCAGCCCTGACCCAAGTTATTGTCTTTCAGATTTCGAAAACGGTTGAAGTTTTCCGCAGGGATTGCTAAGGGACCCTAGTATAGTACCCTAGATACTAGGATCCTTACTATAAGGACCCCATAACAAGGCACCCCGAAGTTGTGGATAGGCGTCCAGTTGAGGGGTGCTGTATGCACTGTAGTGTCTGCTCCCCAGTCACGCCACCCGAAGCAGAATCCACAACTATACAAAACCTCAACCCTAAATACGACAACCCACAACCCCAAACCCGAAAACCCGGAACCCTAAAACCCGAAGCCCCGAACCCTAAACCCTAAGCCTATATCGCTAAATCTTCTCAGCAGCGCACAGACTTGGCCAAGGAAGGATACTTCTTGTCATCCTTCACTGAAGCTGGATCCTGGACTGTGGCGGTTCAGGGTTAGGCTTTGCGGTGTAGGGCTTAGGACAAGGATTTCCTAGTGCTGTAGAGGCGCGGTCGGGATTGGGGTTTAGTCTTTTGCTCGTGTTTGGGTGCACTCGCGGATGTTTTTGTTTGTGGGTCTTGGGGGAATCGAGTTTATGGTTTGGGCGGTTCGGGGCCGAAGGGGCGACAATGCAAGCGGAGGCGCTTTGCACAAACTCGTTTGATCTCCGAACCTCCGATCCCATAGCCCACCAGAATCCACGAGCTTTCATGGTCAGAAATGGAACAGGATTGCTGCCTGTAGAATACTGACAATGATGACCACGGTAATCATCATGACACTGATACTGCTACTGCTACTGCTACTGCTACTGCTACTGCCACTACTGCCACTACTGCCACTACTGCCACTGCTGCCACTACTGCCACTACTGCCACTACTGCCACTACTACCACTACTACCACTACTACCAGTACTACCACCATCACCACCACCACCACCACGACTACTACTACTACTACTACTACTACTACTACTACTACTACTACTACTACTACTCCTGCTACTGCTACTACTACTACTACTACTACTACTACTACTACTACTACTACTACTACTACTCCCACTCCCACTCCTACTCCTTCCTACTCCTACTCCTACTCCTACTCCTACTACTACTACTACTACGACTACTACTACGACGACTACTACTACTACTACTGCTGTTGTTGCTACCACCACCACTACTACTGTCAGCAACAACAACACTCATAACGACTCATAACAACTACAATACCTGTAACAACGATAACCACCATAATGCTGATGTCGCGTGTAACATTGTTAATGAACACTAACAGCAACAAACAACAGCCATAACAGTGGTAGTAGAAACATCAACTTCAATCATGAAAATATTAATGCTCACAGTAGGACTAGTGATGTTAGCAATGATAATGATGACAACAGTAGTAATGATAGCAATGACAATAATACTGATAGTGACAATAACAGTCCACGTCAGCACGAATGTTTTAGAGCCAACATAGTACTGACAATCATCATCATAATCATAACAGTGCCCATCATCATCGACATCACCATGGTCATCAATGTCATCATCATCATAATCATGCTAACCCTCATGAACAATACGAATACTCGTAATAAGAACAGTAGCTGGAATCATAATATGGAGCCCCTCCACTGCAGAGACTTCTGCAGACGTCGTCGTAGGAGACGAGTCGTCGCTTGAGCGTGCCCCGAGCCCAAACCGCCCAGAGCTCCAAACGACAGTACACCCTCAACCTAAAGCCTAAACCCTAAACTCCGAACCCTAAACCAACCTGAAAAGACAACCTTTAAGCCCTGAACAACAAGAATGTCAAGGGCGCCTTGTTCTTCACAACGCCCCAGGCTGGGGCAGTCGTCTCCTGCGTGGTAACATTCGGAGGGATCGCGGGATGAGGGATTCGGCTGCGTGTTGTAGAGGGCCTTAACCCTAAACCCTAACCCCTAAACCCTAACGTCTAAACCCTAAATCCTAACCTCTAAACCCTAAGCCCTATGCGGTTTTAAAGGGCTTGTCTAACAGGAGGGGTCGGAGCTCTGGAGCCTCAGGTTTTGGGGTTGAGATGTTTTTGACTATCTTGGGGTACCCTTTTCTGAATGGATCTAACTGAGGTACTGCCCCCAGGCAGTAACAGTCTATAACAGGGCTACTATTGCAGTCCTGATATATCTATGCTATGAATATTATCCAACTGTTGCTGGGTGGGGGCAGTACCCAAGATCCGACTATTATTTAGGGGACCTATCAGGGCACACCCCCATTCTTGCTGGAGCTCGAATATCAAGATGTTCCTGGGTGTTTACGGGGCTTAGGATTGATTGTTGTGGGTGTTTTCTGGTACACCCAAAAGGCTAAAGGTTACCTACTCTGCTGCGAAGTTTGGGTTCAGGGATCTCAGAACGATTGGGCGGTTCAAAAGCTGTGCAGCCCGAATGAAAACTCTAACAAGCCTAACCCAGAGACTCCAATGTCCCTTAATGCAGGGATATACCCTGAACCATGGTAGGATCCCCAATGTGATGTAAGGAATATTCCTTATGAAGGGATATTGGAGTCTATGGGAACAAGTATGATCCTCATTATGATCGACCAAAGAAGCTCCTACATTCGGCCAGCATTGTCGACTGTAGGCATGCTTTACCCAGAGAGCCCAATACCACGTTTTTAAGGATTTTGCCACACAATATACGGGGCTACAGATCCTGATTTGACTGTATTCCCATTTATTAAGGGGTATACCACAACTTTTTCGGGGCTACATATTTTGATCTAAAGCTATGTTCCTGCACTAAGGTGGTATTGGGCTCTCTGGGGATAGATTCCCCCCTAAAGAACCGATATCTTCGAGGAATCCGAGTCTCCAGTCTGCGATGCCACGAAGCCCTAAGTCATTTCGGACAAGATTTGAAGCCCTTGTGGAGGGAGGCCTAACAGAGCCTAAACTACCAACACCTACTTTTTTGGTAGGGTCCAAATTTTAGGTTATGGATGTGATCCGGCCCAGTTCCCTTGCCGCGAGGGTCCGCGAGGGTGCATGTGTGATGACCACGTTGCGGTGCAGAGCCCCTTTGTGAGAATAAGCATGCTTCTCCTGAAGCGACTCCTTGAAGCAGGACAGCACCAAGCCCACATTGTGGCGTTCAAACAACTTCCGGTAGGATGTACGAATGGATTGCGAGTGCAGCTGCGCGTCTCCAGGTGACTGGCTGGCCAACGAAGAGTCCGAAGAGCCAGCAAGCCTCATACGAGTGTGGCTGCGCGTCTCCGGGCTGAGGCTTTGACTGGCTTGACAACGAGGAGCCAGGAAGCCCGATACAAAGGGACTGCCAGTGCAGCTGCGCGTCTACTGAGGCTTTGACTGGCTGGGCAAGGAGGAGCCAGGAAGCCTTAAACGAATGGATTGCAAGTGCAGCTGTGCTCTCCAGGTAATTACAGGCTTTGACTGGCTGGACAACGGAAAGCCAGCAAGCCTTATACTCGAAAGGAGCGCGAAACACCCGTCACTGCCCGTTTTCTGAAGACATCTGCCGTTGCACAGCCATCGGAGGCTCAGGCAGGGTGGTGTGAAAAGGTGTGGGTGCCCAAGTGTTTGATTCTGCGACATCGGGCAACCCTCCAAGCAAAAGCACCGGATTCGGCCGGTCAGGCCGAAATCTGGCTCAAACGGAGCTGGGGTTTCCAAAATCGGGTATAGGGTCTAGGGTATGGAAGTTTCGGAGATTTGGTTCAGGGTTTAGGGTTCTCATCGTGAAAGTTACTGTATGGGTATATTTGTCGTCATGTTCCTATATTGTTTTGAGAGTACAGTTAGTCCCATAAAGTTGGAAACCGGATTAAGGCCAAATAGTGCTGGGATTCCCTATATATTACTCTTAAGGATTGAGGCTATTGGGTTTCCAACTTTTGGGCTTCTACTGTATGTTAGTGTTCTGTGATTGGCAAGCCTCCTGTAGGACAGCTTCTTCAGGATGCGAGATGAGGCGAGAAACCGGCTGAACATCATGATCTCATCCTAATCCCAAAACCCTGAACCCTAATGCCTAAACTAGACCCCGAATCCTAAACCCCTAAACCCTAAACCCAGACCTCCGAACCTCTAAACCCCTTAACCCCAAACCCTAAACCTGAACCCTTAACCCTAAGCCTGAAACAGAAGGACAGAAAGCCTGGGCTTGAAGCCTCTTGGACTGCCTATGAGATGTTTTGGGGGGTTTAGGGCTACCTGAACCCTGAAACCAAAAAAGCCCAACATCCCTTGAGTAAGGAATATACCTTAAATTACCAGGGGCTTATATCATTATGGTTTGAATATAACTTTTTTGAGGGGCTTAATTATAGTATATATTATGATTTGCATATACCTTGACTTATAGTAAGGGGCTTCATATTATGATTCAAGCTATATATCTTCCTTAAGTAAAGGGTATTGGGCTCTCTGGGAAGACCTTGGGGTGTGACTTTCTTCTATCAGTCCTTCGGTTGATGATATAAATCCTGCATTACCCATAATAAGGAATATACCATAATTAACATAGTTTAGGGTCCTGAAGGTAATGCGGGATTTATATAATCAGCAGTTAAGGAGGTGGGGTTTTGGGGGAACAGGTCGACCCTAAGCATCCCCAAAGTAGGTTTAGGGTTTAGGGTTTAGGGCTTTAGGGTTTAGGGTTTAGGGGTTTAGGGTTGTCCGTCCTCCTCCTTCTCCTTCTCCTCTTCTCGCACGAGCTTGCCTGCAGGCATCAGCACAATCAAAATGGCTGGACACGTATATACCTGTCATTCGCAATTGACGCACCGTGGGCTGAGCCCAAGATCCCTCACAGAAGGAATCTACCTTAACATTTTTGCCGTATTCCTTAAGTAAAAGTATCGGACTCTCTGAGTATCTGGGGTTTAGGGACCTTTGTGGTTTACGGTTCAGGGCGCGTTTGGCCGTAGACTTTATGGTTGGAACATGAAACAGGGAGCCACCACACCGAGAGACTCCAATACCCCTTACTCAAAGAATAGTCCTAAAATCATTTTAGGGATCCGAATATGAATTAAGGGATACCCATACTCCTGAATTAAGGGATATTGTTCTAGGGATCCGAATATGATTTAAGGAATACTCATACTCCTTAATTAAGGGATATTGGAGTCACTACAGACGGTTGCACTTTTATAGAGGAGGCTATTGGAGGGCTACGTCTGAGTCTAGTATCCACTAGAAGATACCCCTGGAGCCGAACTTCTGAACGGGACGCCTGCATCCTCTCCCCAAGGCATCCAATCCAAAGTTCACTCGAGGGGGCAGTGTGCGCAACCCTACACCCTAAACCCTCAACCCCTAAACCTTAAACCCTCATCCCTACCAGAATGATACGGACTCGACTTCGTCACGGTGCCGTCCAAACATGTGAATGCCGGTGGCACGTCCTGTCGGGCCCAAGTGTCGAAGCTTTCTACCTAGAGACTCCAATATCCCGTAATTCAGGAATATAATATACCCTAAGGGTTCCTAAAAGGGATCCTTAAAGGGATCTCTAGGGTTTAAGGTTTAGGGGAGTCTAATACCCCTTAATTCGGGAATATACCTTAAACTATAGTAGGATCCCGAATATGATGTATAGAATATTCCTTAATTAAGGGATATTGGAGTCCTTGGGTAGTCTGTTAAGAGTGGGATCCCAGCAGCGAGGACGTCGTCAGATACTGGTGGGATATACCCATAGTTAAGGACCCTAAAGCACAGGTACCCTCCCTGCATTTCAAGAAATGCCCCAAGATTCCCAAACGGCCTTTCCGAACTTAACAGGAAGCGCACAACCTCCGAAAGGGAATCGCACATCGCACTTGGCCTCTCCAAATGCACAAATTACACCCTTAACCCTGAACCCTAAGGTTTCTATGCTGTCAGTGCAGGGTCAACTCAGGACGAAGGCGGAATGGCGCGCCTGCAACTTCCACCTTCATGGTGGCTTGGACTACTTCCTCTTCGTGCCAACCGTCGTCCTGCTTCGGGATCTCTAAGCCCTACCCGTGCGCCCCAGTTAACTACACAGAAAACCTCCCGCACCCCGCACCCCCCCTTTCAAATCCTATAAGGGGTTCTGGAGGTGGAAAATGACCACCCCACCCTGAACCCCAAAATCACGATTGCGTGATAAAATAAGGAAATCTACCCTGCAGCAAAGCTTCACTTTAGGGTTTTTCAGGTTTAAGGGTTTAGGGTTTCATGTTGATTGAAGGAACTGTGTAGAATCAGAGTGCCACATGCTACTTGTACTAAATGGGCACTTCCCATTAACTAGTTCGTCCCGCTTTCTGTCAGAAGCGCGCCCAACAGCCCGAAATGTGCCATGAACTTAATTTGTACTTAAGGTTGAACTTTAAGGTGCTCTGAATCACTGAATCTACACTTTGGTTGACTGAGGCCCGGAACCTGAAATCCTGATCCCCCCCCGGCACAACAAGCAGTATGTTACACTATGAACCGAAGCTCGTGGCAGGTTGCGGGCGACCAAAACAAGCACCTACACATATGGATGTGGATGGTGTTATGGGCTTACAAGGGGGATTTCACAGTCAGTCTGATATAGGCAATAGGGGGCCTCATAATTATAACAAGGTTGTGGGGATATAACGGGACATCTGACAGTTTGGCCATCATAAGGAACAGTAAACAGTACTCTATACTCACCGCCTAGACCTAAGAATAACCTAGGAATAAAAAAAGGGTGCCCGTTTTGGTTCAAAGGGTGTTATAAGGGAACCTGAACCCTAAAAAGGGAATAAGGGCCTACTCTGGTATCGCTCCTCAGTCCACTTGCCGGACTTGTACTCATTCTGCAACACCTCCAAGACATCGAAGGCGAAAGCGAGAGCCCCACTGTCAACGCATGATGCCATCAACTGCGTCTTGATCAGTGAGCAGGCCCTCTGGACATGCTTCTTACCCAAGTCAGTCATCTTGCCGACCCCTGACCCGATCTTGAAATGTCTGTCACGCATCGCTTTCAGTGCGTTCCCGACGGTCGGTTTGGCAACGTGAACACCATGGATGTTCCCGCTCTCAGGGACTGGTTCCCACGACGCGCAGTGCGCGCGGCCCTCCTTCTCCATGCATCCTGCACGATCATAGGTCTGTGCTTGGAAAGAGCCGGACGTGTCGCTCGCAGAACCGGCCGTCAGTTCGGCACGAGACGAGGTAGGCTTTAGGGGTTTAGGGTTTAGGGCTTATGGGGCACAAGAGGAGGAAAGAAGTCTGAAATCCACTTCTTACTGCTACTCGTAGGCTCAGGCTTATGATGGTTTAAGGCGCAGAGTTTAGGCTTAGGCTTAGGATGGTTTGGCACGGCCGTGAACTGTGGTAATTCCCTACCTGCAGCGTCAAGACACTGACGACCTGCAGCTAAAGACATCCTTATGGACACAATGAAGCCGAAAAGGGTTCAAGGTTCATATACAGTATAGGGATTCATAGTATATGGCAATAGGCGGGGCCCCTACTTTTAAGGGTCATTTGGTCCTACAGACGTTGACGACCCAAACCTGACCGCTCCTCTTCCGACTTCTTCTTGGTGTCCTTCTTCTCTTCCTGGGTCTTACCCGCAAAATCCAGAACTACGCCCCAAAAACACCAAAACCCTGAACCCGTAAGGTTCTTTAGAGTTGAGGGTCTGGTGGCGCAGTTCCTCCAGCTCGGAGGCAGATGCATACCTCTACCGAAGCTTACTTAAAGGCTCATGGGACTTAGTAAGTAAGGTTATAAGTAGGTTATAACTAGGATAACCCCGCTTAGGGGACTTATAACCCCAATTATAACCTACTTACTAAGTCCCATGATCCTTTAAGTAAGCACTTCGTCCGCGTCCCCAATCCTCAGCTCTCAACCCCAAACTACATGCGCAAAACTCTCAGAACGACAATAAACCGGTTTAGTGTTAGGGCCCCCCTCCTGCCTGAACGTTCAATGTAAGGCACAAATCCCTCTCTTGGAGCGGAAGGGCGCCATGTGATAGAGCTTTCTCGGCTTGCGGGGCTAAGCCGTATACCCTAATCTTAAGGGCCGAGTACCCCAGCTCAAAAAAGGTTAACCTTTGTTGTATAAACCCCAAAAGGTTGAAGGTTACCCACTCAGCTACTACCCTAAACCCTAAACCCTGAACTCTAAACCCTTAACCCTAAACCCTAAACCCTGAACTCTAAACCCTAAACCCTAAACCGTGGGATAAGATTGTTCGACTCGGCTTCTGAGGGCCTGGAGGGCCTCTGGCTGTTGTGGCCTTTTCGGGGCTTTAGGGTTTAGGGATTTAGGGTTTAGCGGTTATTCCTCAATTCAGGGATATTGGAGTCTCTGGGTTCGGGCTCTTTCTATGTCGGTTTAGGATTTAGGGGTGACGGGTTTAGGGTTTAGGGGTTAGGGTTTAAGGTTTTCGAGGCTGTAACGTATTGTAGCGTTTCAGGTGTACAGGGCTCCAGGATCTTAAGCTAAGTTCCCGCGTACCCCGAGAAAAAACGGGTGCGCTGTAAACGTTCGATTTTTTATTTATAAGTTTTAACTAGCATTGTATTGCTTTCAGCACCTGAAGATTTAGTCGAAGGTTATTAACCTTTACCTATGGTGAAAATAAAAACGCAGCAATCTAGGCACCGAAATAAGCAAAAAGCAAAGCAAGAAGCCAAATCACCGAGAATAAAACCAATCCGAGGAACAGCAGGCTTCTCGTTCGTGGCATTGTTGAGGTTCGTGCCCTGAGCGCGGCATGGGATTTTTGGCTCCCACCGACTCCAATGTCCTTTGATTAAGGATTATACCTTAAATCATATTAGGGATCCTACCACAATATAAGGAATATTCCTTAATTAAAGGATACGGGAGTCTCTGGGCTAGGGACTTTGTTCAGCGGATTTTAGTTCGAGGCTTTACTGCCTGGGGCTTTTCTGCCTTGGCGTCTCAAGTTCGGTGTCTGCGGTTCAGGGATCGGGCGATTCCAGGATCTAGGGAAAGGTTGATTGTTTGTGTTTCGGTTGTTTTGACGGCTTCATGGCGTTGCAAAGGCCTCTACTTCTTCTCAATAGTTCCAGGAGTGCTGAGGTTTGAGGAGGTTTAGGGTTTGCAGCATTTGGGGGCATGCACCTGAGGTTATGTAGACTTGAACCCAGGACCTTGCGGATCGAACTATCCGCAAAGCTCGGTTCACCATGCTCCAAAATGACATCCAAAACCTGAGTCACCCCAGACTCATCTCATCCGACAGAAGTGGCCATGTTCTCTTTATGGTGTCTCTAGGATTCGAGGGTCTTACAGGGGCAGTAGTCAAAAGTATCCGCGGTTTGAACAGGAGTGAAAACGATGCTGCATGCGTTTCTATGAAGCATGGCCCCCTGTACCACGCCTAAACCCTAAACCTTCAACCCCAGAACCCTGTACCCAAACCACACCGTACATCCTAAGTCCTGAACCTCAAACCCTCATCCTTAAACCCAAAAAACCCTGATCCCTCATTCCGAATCCCAGGTTTCAAAGCTTGGAGTCTTCAGGCTCAGAACCTACAGTGGATCCCAGAAAGTTGGAACATGGGTTTAGGAGGATTAGTGCTAGGATTCCCTATACTTTACCTTAAGGGTATGAGGATTAACGATGTTCCAACTTTCTGGCTTCTACTGTATTCCTTGAGAGCCGAAACCCAAACTGCAGACCGGAAGCCATCCGAAACCCTGAACCCTAAGCCCGAAGCCCTAAACCCTAAGCCCCAAGCCCTAAGTGCTAAACCCTAAACTCCAGACCCAAGGCAGGGCCGCAAATCCTCGGAATAGGGTTTTGGGGCAGATGGTAGCATACTTTCACATGTACATATGGGTGGTTATCAAAATCATGGTCCCTTTTTTGGGGTACCCTAAATATTAGGTGCCGTACTACATATACTAAGGACCCCCCTTTTTGACAACCACCCATATAACAATAAAGGATCCCTTCCCAGACCCGAAAAGTAGATCCCCTAATTTGGGGCCCTATACTACTAGGGTACTTTATAGGACCCCCCATGAAGGGATCTACTTTTTGGATCCTCCCGGAGGTCTGGGTTAGGGCCTTTGGGATGACCTTGCTGTGCTAATCATTCCACCGGCCCCCTACATAAAACCTTTTCAACCAAGGACCTAAACTCTGAACCTAAGGTCAGGGTTTAGGGCATTACTTAAAGGCTCATGGGACTTAGTAAGTAGGGTTACAAGTAGGTTATAATGTGGATAACCGCACTAAGGGGACTTATAACCCCAAAATATACCCTTCTTACTAAGTTCCATGATCCTCTAAGTACCCTAAACTCCCCCTTATAGAACCCTTAATGGATCCCTTGAAGGAACCCTACTTACCTCGAACCTGAAAAAAGCCCCTGTTCGGTTCAACCACTTTGGGAGATCAGCCCAAAACCCGATACCGGTGAAGCTGTGAATCCCTTAACCGTTAGGGTTTAGGGGTGTAGGGTTTAGGGTTTAGCCTTAACCCTGAAGCCCTAAACCCTGAAACCCCATGGGTACTATAAGGGTTCTTTTAGTGGGCTACCAGAAGGATACTATAAGGGTTCCTTGGAAGGATGACTAGAAGGGTCTAGAGATTCCGAAAATGAGGGGTCACCCTATTTTGGGGTCCTTTCAATAGAATTCCTGCCATTTAGGGTACAATATTAGGGTCCCCTATTTTCGGAAACTCTCATATCCCCCATGAACCCGAAAGACAGGACGCCCTGAATCCCTCAAAAGGGGTTGCAGGGCCCTGAACCCGAAAATACACTAACATCGGTTTAGGGTTTAGGGTTTAAGGTTTAGGGCCCTAAAACCCCAAACCTCAAACAAACTGAAAGACCAACAGCTCAGAGCCGAAATCAGCCCTGAGAGAAACCTTTAACTGAACCCCTGCTAAAGCCCTGTAAACAGGTTGTGAAATCTTACCTTAACCCCTTTTTAGGGACTTATAAAAGGAAATCATAATAGGGGGGCCCTAAAAAGGTAGGTTCCGTAGGGTCCAGGTAGTGAACCCTATGAAACCCGTTCGATCTACGAGGCGGCAGCCAGTACCCCGAGGTCCAACCCAAAAGGGCGCTGATCTTCCTACGGCTACGGCCCGAAACCCCGAAATAGCACAACCTCCCTGAAGCCCCAAACTGCCGCACCATAAAGTCCTAAAGCCGTAAGGGGGTGCACATAACGGATCCCGAAGCGGGGCACCTTAAAACGAACCTAGTGAAACCCCTAGCCTGTAGAACACTAGAAAAAGGAACCCGTATAAAGGAACCTATAGAATCCCTTAGAAGGGAAGAACCGCTTAAAAAAGAACCTCTGGAAACCTTATAAACGCCTATAAAGGAACCCCTGTAAGATTCCTGAAAAGGAACCCCTACAAAGAAAATTCTAGAGCCCTTGAAAAACGATCCCCTGTAGGATCCCTGAATAGGAAACCCTTTATGGCGGATCCCCGATTACAGTATCCCTTATATGGAACGCTAGAATAGGATCCTTAAGGGAACCCACATGGATGGGCACCTTGATCTTCTTCTTCTTGTCCTTCTTGAAGAAGTCATTTAGCGACGGCGCCTTGGTTTGGGGTTTCGGTGAGTAGGGGTTTAGGGGTTTGGGTTTGGGGTTTGCGGTTTAGGGCTTAGAGCGGGGTTACGGTTTGGCCTCTATGGAATGGCGAAAGCCTTCCCAAGCCACAGCCTTGAGTTTACGGGGTCTGAATCACCGATAAGCTGTTGAAATGTTATGGTGGGTTATGGGGCTGTAAAGGGTCTTATGTGGTTTTAAGAGCCCATCGCTTTATTTTCTTAGCAATTATAGAACTGGGTTTCGGAGCAGGTGATACAAACGTAGTCACATTGCAGAATCTGGGGAATACCAATACTGATTATGCTTCGTTGCAACCTACGGTTAAACCAATGTCCAGGGCAGCGGAAACCACTACAGACAAACGACGCTTCCTGCTCATACCCAGAAACATAGACAGGTTGTGGCTTTTGAGATGGAGGGTTCAAATGCCAAAACACGGATTACAACTAGTACAGCTACCGGCCATCTGTGCTAGACGCAACAGTTATACCACCATAACTTCTTGCTATTTCTCCTACCAGTACAGTGTGCAGTTAGTATGACTAGTACTGGCATCATCGAAGGCCACATTTACCCACAAACCCCTCACACGCTCGACACCACCTGACTCACTCCAGATATACGGAACCTGTACGAACGTCTCACGGCCTGAAGACCTTCAAGGCCCCTCTATAAACCCTAAACCTACAACCCTGAACCCTAAAATACAGCCTAAAGGAATGTATCTAAGCCCTAAACCTTCAACCCTAAACCCTAAAGCCCAAAACAAAGCCACTATAAACATTTATCGAAGCCCTTAACCTTCAACCCTAAACCCTAAACCCCTATATAAGTTTATCTAAACCCTAAACCTTCAACCCTACCAATCAACATGAAAACACTTGGAGGCCCCACGTCCGCCATGAGGGATGTTCCTGCAAGAGGAGGAGATTGGGCTCCGGAAAGGGCAACCGGGTTTAGGGTTTAGGGTTTAGGTAACCTAAACCCTAAACCCTACACTGACATAGGGGTGGTTGTCAAAATTATGGTCTCTTTTTGGGTCCCTATTATAATTCGGCACCTAAAATTGAGGGCACCCAAAAAAGGACCATAATTTTGACAACTGCCCATAGGAGCCAGACTAATTAGAACAGGGTGTTGGGGTATGGTGTAGTATAGAAGGGGCCCTCATGAAAACGGCTCGTAGTTATTTAGGTCCGTGAATTCGTTGGGTTAGGTTTGGAGTTTAACAACTTTTGTCAAATTTTTGAAGGGGCGTTTCAGGGACGAGGAATGCTAGAAATTGGAGCTTGGGTTTGGAACCAACGCATCCTGCAGGACCACAGGTGCAGCCCCGAACTAAATACAAACCCGACGCTTCACGCTTCAGATCACATCAACCTGCTGCATCCCACACAGGTAGCTCTCTGAAGCAGGGTCCGGTTTTAGGTCCCAAAAACATCACGGCAAGCTTGGAAACAGGATCCCAAAAGGGACCCTAATTTAGAGAACATACCCTAAACCCTAAACCCCAAACCCTAAACCCCAAACCCTAAACCCTAAACCCCAAGCCCTTAACCCTAAACCGATTCATGTCAAGCTTGCCATGGAGTGGTGCTTCACAGAGAGGCTCCGTACGGCTGATGGACAAAATCCTGACCTTCCTTTGAAGGGATCTACCATGGGTACCTTTAAGGGGCTGCCTTTAAGGGATCTATAGGGGGTTTAGGGTTTAGGATTTGTAAATCCTGCATTACCCATTATAAAGAATATACCATAGTTCCCATAGTTTAGAGTCCTTAGGGTCATGCAGGATTTTGTCCATCAACAGTATTACATACAACGAACTAATTACGATGTTCACGATTTCCCTCCGAGAGGGTTTAGGGGATCAATAGTTCAGGGTTAAGGTTTAGGGTTTGGGGCTTACCATAGGCTCCGCAATAATCTGCATAGGGTGTTGGGGCCCATTCTACTATAATTATACTAAGGAGCCCCACCCAAAATAGTCTAGGTAAATATCTTTAGGCCCCTATATTGGAGGGAGGAGGAACCCCATTAGCTCTAAGCTGGCCCCAAATCCTTGCAGGAAGCCAAGTGTCTGGATGTGTAGTGCAGAGTGGCAGCGAGCCCAATACCCATTCATTAAGGAATATAGCTTATTATAAGCTTATTCAGTCATTTTTGATATTCCTTAATTAAGGGATATTGGGCTCTCTGGCTACGCCAAGAATGATAACTAATCCTCTTCCGACGTTGTGCAAAACAAGCCGACACGCTAAATGCGCATCAATGAAGCTCGAAACCAAACTGAACCACCTGAAAGCCCTAAACCTCAGGCAATCCTACTCTCAGCCCCAAACCCTAAACCCTCAACCTAAACCCTCAGCCCTAAACCCTAAACCCTAAACCCTAAAACCCTAAAACCCTAAAACCCTAAAACCCTAAACCCCTCAACCTAAACCCTCAACCCTAAACCCTAAAGCCCGAACCCTGGCCGGCCTGCGTAAAGTCCTATAACCAGTAATCAACGACTGCGCAGCTTGATTCACCAACGGCCAAGGCAGCAGTTGCACGGCTTAGGGGCTTGGGGGTTGAGGGTTTTAGCGCTAATTTTGGGGTTTAGGGTTTAGGGGTAATTTTTGGTTTAGGGTTTTGGGCTTAATTTTGGGGTTTAGGGTTGAGGCTTAACTTTGTTTGGGGTTTAGGGTTTAGGCTTAATTTTGGGGTTTGGGGGCTGTGTTTCTACCTGCGGGACCATCTGTGGCAAAGGAGTGGGACAGGAGGTTCCGTCTGTTTCAAGTTTGGGGGTACAATGTGCATCGAAACTACCTCAAGCAACGGCAGAAGCACCAGCAGCAGCATTTGCAATTGCTTTGGTTTCGGCCTTCCTCCCACTCTGAATGTCGATGAATGTGGGACGTGCAAATTCATCATGGAATCGTTCATAGTTTCGGTTAACAATCGCGGAGTAAACAGTCGCTGCTGGCACTAATTATGACAAAGACGACAGTTAGGGTTTTTTTAAGTGCATCGGCCTTTTCTGTGTGCAGCGTTTAGGGTTTAGGGTTTAAGGGAAGCGGAGTCTGTTGTCATCACCATGGCCATCCTGATCCCCAGTCTCATCTTCATCCTCGTCATACTTAAATGCTGATGTGACTTAGTTAGTAAGGTGATAAGTAAGGTTATAATTGGGATAACCCTAGTCTAGTTCATTGTTGAGAAAGGATTAAAAATGTACATTTTTATTCCTTATTGGGTTTAAGTACCCATAAAAATGTAAAATGTTACCCAACAATGACAAAGTTTAGTTAGAGTACGTACAACCCCAATAACCTTAAATACTTACTAAATACCCTGAGCCCTTAAGAATCACTTGTAGGGTCGGAGGGACTAAGTAAGTAGGTAGTAAGTAGACTTGTAAGTACCCCAAAAAAGGACCCTAAGTGGGGCATACCTAGGGACCCTAAGTGAGGCATACCTATAAGTCTATAAAATAACTATCTACTACGTCCCCCGACCCATCTAGCATCATCATCATCATCATGACAATCACAGGAATGCCGACCGCTCTCTACTTCACGAAGGCTGCTAAAGGAAGCTGAAAGCTGGCTTTGGGGCCAGAGGTTTAGAGTCTTAGGCTTCAGGGCTTAAGGTTTGGGGGCTTTGAAGGTTTTGAAGGTTTCAGGGTTACTCTAGTCAAAGCAAACAGTATAAAGCACCCTCATATGTAAATCACCCCATCCTACCCCACCCTCATATTAACAGCAGGAAGACGGAGCCTGCTGACACCCAAAACCCTACCACACCTCATGATCAGTTGACGTCTGTAACAAGATAGGATATTTGGCATTAAGGCAGACCCCGGAATCCCCAAAGCTCTGAAGACCAAATTCCCAAATATCGAGAGCCAAAGCCCTCCAAAGCCTTCAAAGCAGCCCAGAACACCACCAGGACCCTGAAAAGCGTACGGTTGGAGGGCCGTGACTTAGGATTTGGGGTTTAAGGTTTCCTAAACACCTAAACCCTAAACCCTAAGCCCTAACCCCTTAAATCCTAAGCCCTAAACCCTAAGCCCTAAACCCTAAGCCCTTCTTTCTGGGCCTGGTGCTTTCAGGCCTACAGTTGGCTGCATCGGGTTCAGGGTCAGGGGCTTACTTAGAGGGTTAGGGGTAAGTATCTAGGGGTTCCTTCAAGGGATCCTTTGAAAGATCTCTATAAGGGTTCTATAACGGGGAGTTTGGGGTACTTAGAGGATCATGGGACATAGGTAAGTAGGTTATAATTAGGGTTATAAGTCCCTTAAGTAGGGTTATCTTAATTAAAACCTACTTGTAACCTTACTTACTCAGTCCCATGAGCCTTTACGTGCTTGGGAGGGTCAGGGGACTGAGTAAGTACAGTAGGTGGGACACCCTGGCGCTTAGTAGGGAATGAGGGAATGGATTATAGGGACTACTATAAGAAACCCTTGAGGGAACATCATAAGGATCCCTTCCCCACTCCCTACTAAGCACCAGGAAAATGATTTGGGATTAGAGGGACCCCTGGGAATATAGACCCACTCTTGAGAGGGCCAGAGGCAGGGTTGAAAACGGTCCCTTCTAAAGGGGGCTCCCTAATACAAACCAGGACGAAGGTAATAAGTAGAGTTAGAAGTACCCTAAAGAGGATCCTACTTGCGGTCATGATACTTACAAGTCTATAAAGTAACTAGTTACGAAGTCACCCGACCCTCCAAGCAGGATCGAGGATCACATGAACCCCAAGCCGCGGTCTTTTTCTTCTTCTTCGGAGATTTGCTTCGGTCGGGGTTCGAGCCCGCCGCACCTGGGCCAGGGCTGAGTCGCTAAGACTCTTTAGGGTCATTAGGGCTTCACGGGTTTAGGGTTTAGGGGTCTAGGGGTTTAAGGAATTACGGGTTAAGAGTTTGGGGTTCAGGGTTCATTATTTAGTAGGTTTCCGCTGGTTTTGAGAATTAAGGAATAGGGCTTTAATAGGTTTCTAGAGGCATTTAAGGTTTAGGGACTAGGGCTTTAATCGGTTTCTACAGGTTTTAACGTTTAGGGTAGCTGGATTAGGCTTTCACTTGTTTGTAGAAGAGTTTTGTAGTGTTTATGCCCGGTACAGCAGTGCCCTTTAACAACAAGGTGACCTTCTATCCCTTGTTCAATTTTGATCAGGAGATTCAGGAGACACACGAGGGTGCTACTGCTCCTAAGTGTCTATGTTCGGGGTCTCTCGGCACTATCTTGCCTGAAACTGCCAAACTGCAGACGTGCACTATGAGCGGCGGCAGCACTGCTATGATTTCCATACAGTTTCGATTGGTATGGTGCTCCGATAATGACACTTTTCATGATTACTCAATATTCCAATTTGCTCACTCTCACTCTTATGATAGTGGTCATTAGATTATCGCTGTCGTTGTGTTGGCGGAAAAGGTTGCGATGATTAATGGCTGCGTTGCACTTCAGAAACAGCGTCGGGGCTTTGAACATAGGGCCGACTGCGCCGTTGAGGGTTTGCGGTTTCGGGGTTTGGGGGGCTTAATTATATAGGGAGTTTAGGGCTGTTGTGCTTAGGGTTTGAGGATTTAGCTTTTAGGATTGGGGGAGGTATGACAAGGCTGCCCCTTAACAGGATGACTCGTACAGCTCGAAACAAAGCCACTGTGCAAACCTAGGCAAAACAAGGAACCATGGAACCCGAAGATCGTCAACCCTCAGCCCCTTCCAGTCCTCCACCCTTAAACTCTTTACCCATAATGTAGAGGCCTTATAATAATTAGAATTGGGCTTTGGGGCCCATATAGTAAGGAACCCCCAAAATAGTATAGGTAAATATTTAGGCCCCTACAGTAAACCCTCATAATACCCCTTATAGTTATCCTGATATGATAGACCCCTTAAAAGGAACCCCTTTTTTAAAGGAAGCCTAGGACACGGTAGTCATTTAGGCCTCTATAGTAGCCAAACCCAAAAACCCAAACCCGACACTGCCGAGTGCGCCGCTGACCATTTGCATGGGCGATCGAGGCTCTGACCGAGGTCCCCGACCGAGCGTCCCGTCAGAACGGTGAGGGCACAAGCTAATGACTTGTTTGCCGTCAGGCAAAAAAAACACCAAATCCCCCTGCCCTGCTCTGTTCTGCCACCCCAAAACTGCAGCAACTGGTTTACGCTTCGAGCAGCCCTTACACGGCGCGAGTGGCAGGTTGTTTGTTGGAAACCCTTGCTTTTCGTCGAGCGGCCGGCACAGGCCGCGAGGACCCACAACCCGACACCAATCCATCTCAGTTGTGGTTTGCCGTGAAATGTGGTCGTTTATGTATCGAACTGCGAAAGGAAGCAGAGAGCAAGAAAGCCCCCCTTGAGGGGGGGTTTGGGAGGTGAACCCTAAACCCTAATTGAGAATAGTTAGGGTGGTCGGGGCGGGACTACATGCTGACGCAAGCGCACGACAAGTGGGCGCACAGCCATTTCTAAAGAGGCACACCCACCGCGCGCATACTGTCCACACGCCCTCAACCCTCAACCCTTAACCAAACCCCAAAGCTTTCCCCATCTGAGCCCAGGACATCGCTTCAGGGACTGAGCGGACAGGGTTTAGGGTTTAGGATTTTGGGGTTTGGAGCGTTGGGTTTAAACTTGTTTGGGGTTGGGGCTTAGGGTTTGAGGGATTGGATTTAAAGTTTAGGGCTTTGGGATAAAGGGTGTCGAGTCGGGGCTTAGGTTGCTATATGGGTTAATCGCAAGCATCGCATGGGATTTAGGGTCCGTAGGTTTCGTACAGGTTATATAGACTCAACAAGGTGCCGAGATGAAGGCTTTGAGCGGGTTTTTTTTTGGGGGGGTTACTTGAAGGAACATGGAATTAGCGATGGTAAGTAGGCTTATAGGTTAGGTAACTCTGCCCCTATATGCCTATAAGCCCAGCTAAGGTGCTTACTAAGCCAAGTCCTCAGGTCCTGTGAGTAGGCATGGAAATATAGACTGCACTGAACTTGTTAAAGCTTGAACCCGAGATCATCAGCTTCACTTTCGAAGACGCCTCTGACGATTAGGGAATGCCCTCCGCAATACTAGATCTAGACGCGATTCCAACGGTCTCGAGTTTAGGTTTCGGGATGGTTGCGTTTCCCGGGCTCAACAGCTAGATCGAAGGCTTCCAATTTACAGCATAGCGACCCTGTCGAACTCTAAGTCCTGAGCCCGCAACACCCCAAACCCGAAAACGTAAAGTCCGACAAGCACAACTTATAGAATCCTGAACCCTTAAATTACCCAATTGCCCAGACCCTTGTGCGCTCCAAGTTGTACACAAATGCCGCGAAATAGCTTCTCTGTTGCTGCACACTCTCTCAGAGAAGTCCGACAACCACTAATTGGGGCTCAGGGTTTGGATTTCGTTTAGGCGTTTGCTCGAGCTGTTTGCTGTCTGCACTATGCGTTTGCTTTTGGTGTTAGCCTATTAGGCTATGTGCACGAAGAAGACATGAGCAAATATTAGACCTGGTCGGCACCCTTAGTTGTCACGCAGCACAATCGTCAAGCTCGGTTCGGCAGTACCACTTAGTTGTCCCGTATGCTGGGGGAACGCAATGTCAACTAGGATTATTGGGATTATGATACCCTTTTTAAAGGTTGCCTATTCAAACAAGACGGTGGGGAAGCAGCAGATCATCTTGGTACGATCGGGCCATGGCTCAGCCTTTGGGGAGATAGAGACCTGAACCCTGCTTAAGGCTTCGGATCTAGGTTGTTAGGATTTAGGGTTTAGGCTTTCTGTAGCTTAGCGGTTTAGGGTTTCTGTAGCTTAAGATCAGTGCCGAAGATCTCACGCCTGCTCTCAGCCTACGATCAATGCCCAGTCCATAGCTAAAGCCAAGCTCAAGCGGCCAGTCTTCGGGGGAGATCTGCAGGCCCAAAAGCACAAACGGTTGAAATAGCTGCCCAGCTACCATGTACAGTACTACCAGCTATTGCTTCCCCAATCTCTGAAGCCTAAACACAAAATAGCAACTGGGACTAGCTTGTCACTTCCTGCTCCTCTCTCAAACAGACCCTCAACTTGAACTTAAATGAAAGGTATGCAGCCCTGGAACCTGAACCCGACGCCTTCCTTCTATGTGATCGTTTGGCCCATGCTCTTGGCGCCCAGGCTGATTCGAAATCCAGGACACGCTTGTCAGTTGGCAGCTCCTGCGAATTGAGCATAACCACAGCAAGACAAGAATTAGTCTTAGGGCTGAGAACCCTAGCCCCAAAAGGTTAACTTTTCAGTTAAGCCTAAGCCCCAACCCCCAAAAGGTTAGAGGCTACCTACTCAGCCATTAAGTAGTCGAAAATATTGAATAGCCTTCTTCTTCTTCGCCATGGTCATTATCACTATAAGCAGCACAATCTTCTTCCATCATCATCATCATCATCACACCAGATAGTAGCAGCAGGATCAGCAGCCGTAGCTTCTTGAAGCCTGAGCGTTCTGACTGTCCATTTCGTCAATACTACCACCGCCTGCATGACTCCACTAGGGTTTTGGGTTCAGGGCTTAGGGCCCCTATAGGCATTGCAACTCGAATCCTACCCTAAACCCAACACACCCGAAACCCCAAAAAGGAGATCGTAGGGATGGCCCAGGGTGCAAGAGTTGCGTGCTTTGGTGGCAAAGGGGCTTTGGAGGCTCCGGTCCTGTAGGAGCTTTTGAGTTGGGCCCCTCAGTTAAGTCGAAGAGAGATTTGGGTCAGTTTGCAACATAGGAATGAAATCTTCGGGGACTATTGGTGGATGATAGTAACGATCCAACATGATCCAACACCTGAACTCCACCTGGGTAGTTGTCAAAATTATGGCCCCTTTTTGGATACCCTAAATATTAGGTGCCGTATTATAACAAGGACCCAAAAAGGGACCATAATTTTGACAACCACCCACCTGTCGAAGGCCCCAAGCAAAACCCCAAATTTCTCAGGCCGTGGCAGTCTCCACGCCGCCTTCGGGGGCGCTTTCCTTGGCGACCTCGGATGTGCTGCAAAACTTCGACCCCAAGCTCGCAATCCGAAACCCAGACCCGCGGGAGGATCCAAAAAGTAGATCCCTTTAATGGGGGGGCTCCTATAAAGTACCCTTAGTAGTATAGGGCCACAAATTAGGGGATCTACTTTCTAGATCCTTCCGGGGGTCTGGGAACCCGAAGCTTCGCCCCAGGACCCCGGATTTTGGGCGGGCCAGGATAGAAAGCTCATCACGACATGAGACCCTAATACAGTATCCAAACAGTAAGATCCTTATTATATTATAAGGATCCCAAAATAATATTATAAGGATCCCAAAATAATATTATAAGGATCCCAAAATAATATTATAACCCCCCCAATTTTCGGGAACCTCCCAGATACCATCTGGTAGCACGGAGCCTGAGGGATCCGAAATGCTGGGACCTTAAGGCCCCCGTCCCCAACCCTGGCCCTTGGGGTACGGTTTAGGGTTTAGGGTTTAGGGTTCACGGCATCATAGTATATACATTATAGGGGTAGTTGTCAAAATCATGGCCCCTTTTTGGGTGCCCCAAATATTAGGTGCCGTATTATAACAAGGACCCAAAAAGAGACCAGAATTTTGACAGCCGCCCACATGATAATATTGTGTTATAGTGCATTGTAGTACATTTTAGCATCGCTATAGTATATCACTTTTGCACGAGGGCAGAATGGTAGATGATGCGTAATGCGCCAGATCCCTACTATTTTAGAGCTTGGCTTTGTGAACTTATGCTGTATGTTCAAGGTTCAGCTGCCGGAAAAGACAAGCGCAAGGAGTCAGAGTGCCCTGCAGTGGCGTTCATCTTGTTCGGAAGCATCTTTAGCATCCATTGCCTTTGCCAAGCAGGCTAGTTCTCTGATCCCAAAGTAGCCTTGATCTCATAATACAGTACGGCAGCCTTATAACAAGGGCCTTAAAAGAGGACCTAATCTAGAGAATTACCCACGTGAGTTTAGAGGGGGTGGACACGTAGAATTCAATGCAAGTTACATTCTTCAATTGCAGTGCTTTGGGATCTCGGGTGTGTATTGAACAACTTAAAGGATCATTGGACTTGGTAACTAGGTTATGATTCTGTGGCTAGAAGTCCCCTAAGTGGGGTTATCCTAATTATACTACTGATAACTCTACTTACTAAGTCCCGCGAGCCTTTTTAAGTAGGGGCTGAGTACCCTACCTATTGAATTATAGGGATTATATAAGCCACCCAAAAGGTTGAAGGTTACCTACTCAGCCCCTTAGACAACAAGGTAGAGGACCTGTTCTATACTTCCTCAAAGGACGACCCGAGGCAGCTGAAAAGCTGCTAAATCCGAGCCCCACGAGTTCAGTTTAGAGCTCAGGCTTGAAGGTTCTAGGGTTCCTACAGGGGATAAGATCATAATTCCAATTAGGGCCCTTTTAGGCTATTTATAACTCGTCTTACTATCTGCTTGCTAAGTCCCCCGACCCTCCAAGTAAGGGAGACAATGAGGGCTCGAAAATAATAAGTACTTACCTTAAGAGTGCTATGGGAAATGTCTCCTTGCACATCCGGGGCATCTCATCAACTCCCTCGCTAGGAGCGTGCATTTGTCGCAAGAGCACTAAAGCCCTTGCTTAGTGTTAACATGTAGGGCTAACGACTTTAGGTTTTATGGTTTCGGGTTTTGGAGTTTAGGCTTGCGTAACTGGAATTCTGGCACACCTCCTACAAACCCTACAAAAGAAATTCTAATCCTATTCCCAGCACTGAAAACTCCAACACCCCGAAGCCTCAAATGCCAAGCCGCAAACCTGGAATCTACACAAAACCCGCATACAGCACGTATAGACCCATTCAGCACTCTGGTAGATTTCTGACTGACGCAATACACTCCCAAACACTAGCACACCCAAAGAGCCCTGATAATGGGCCACTGATAGAACCCCTTACGGCCCAAATGCTAAAGCCCACCGTCATCACACCCCACATAAATCCTGAAGCCCAAAGCCTAAACCGCCAAACCGTAAACCCTGCACCCTAAAATTTAAACCCTAAAGTCCCAAGACCCAACCGACATCGTCTGTCAAAGGGGAAAAGGAGGGACCCTTAATAAGGACCCCTAGGTATCTACCGTGAATATAGCTTTTTATACTTACCCATTATTATAGCCCATTATAGGGTAGTTGTCCCCATTAAGGGTCCCTCCTTTTCCTCTTTGAGTCTCAGGTCTACACTCGCCCGGGTGAAGAAGCAGCAACTCTGAAACGAAGGACCTGCAAAGGGCTTAGGGTTTAGGGTTGGGGAACGAGGGACATGCTTGAGGGGTTACCTTAAGTACAAAAATGGCCCAGCACACCTACAAAATGCCATTGTTCCACCTTCTTGTCTGGTCCAGGCAGGGTTTAGGGTTTTGGAGGACCTGTGGGTATACATATATAAAGTGGCTTTTAATACCGCGTTCCTCTAAGGGTGTCACAACTGATCTAAACAAAGGATCTTTGGTATATTTAGAGCACATCTCCTTTAGCTTTATGAGGGTTTCAAGAACTGCGGTTTGAGGGTTTAGGGTTGAATATAGGGGCCTCAAAACTGGTGCCAGGAGAGCGCTCCTCAGACATCAGAAATGCACAATTGACAACTGACAACTGAGTATTGTCAATACTGAACCCTAAACCCTAAATCCTCAACCGGAGTAGGGACCGATGGATGCTGTAAAACCATCATGCTACTACTGCCACTGCGGGTCGCTGCCCGCAGGGCCACCGGCCATCTTGGGGCGAAAGTGCGGTGCACTGA